AGTAGCTTTTGTATTGTTGAGTCTCTACTTGAAACTCTGTTTTAGTTGTAAGCCGCAGTTGTATGTGTCTATTACTTACTTGTTCAGTTACTTTTATATCCTGTTCTTTGGATTTGTAAACTTTTGAAAATTTTCAATCCAATTTTAGGAATTTTCATGTACAATACATGCCTGATTAACTAAACTAAATGCAGAGCCTGGGCGGTTTTACCTCGCTCAGCAGAGGCCGGTGTCTCTCTTCCATGGTTCTTCTTCGAGTTTGGCAAGTGGATTGTGTTTGTTCGGTCTTCCTTTGGCAAGATACCTAGGCTTCCGGCTGGTTTGGAGTGATGGCTCTCTTCTCATGATTCCTATATGGTGTTAATTTGGGTTTGTGTTATATCTTGTTAATTATGTCTTGCTTGTTGTTTATGCTTAAATGAGAAAGTTTCCTCGGTATGAGGCTTTTGGCTCTAGGAGTTTCTTGGAATTCGCCGGCTCGGTCTCCGGAAAGGATTCGTACTATGCAGGCTTTGTATTTGAAAAAGGTTTAACAAGATCAATGAAAAATATCTAGATGACCAAAAAAAACAAAACATGATGATACATGTAGAATCTAGAAATTTGATTGATGCGGCAAATTCAAATGCTCAAAATATAGTGCGGAGTAAATGCACTTTTCTCAATAAGTTCGAAGAAGCCAAAAGAACACAATCTCATAGTCTAAACCCATTGTATTGTTCACACTACACTTACATTACAAAATAAGATTTTAAAAACTCAAAGCATACTTTGAAGATCATCTTTGGGCAACCAACGTAGCAACTAGAACAGTACAACACAAGTCGAATTAACTCCACTCATTCCATTAGTTCCTGACTATACTGGAGGATTTGGGTACGCTTTTGGTTTTGGTTTCACTTCGATTTCATTAACACTTCGAACAAAAATAGCGTCCGGTTCATGCCTGCAAAAACACAACAATCAAGAATCAAATAAAAGCGAGATCAATCGAAAGCAAACACAAAAAGATCTCAAGACTGCTACCCGCAAGTCTAGAGGTCCGTGAAATAGATGTCTTCTAATAGCATCTAACTTAAACTGATTCATTATGGTTAAAAATCAGAAGGCACGGAAAAGATTAATGAGTGAGATTCTTACGGTTTGTCTCCCTCTTCAAATGTGTAACTTGAAGCAACAGCCAGTAATCCACCATCTCGGCTGAAAGAGAGCGCCGCAATACTAGTTGGATACTTAGAGTACTACAGAAAAAATAAAGGAGTGATTAATACTGTGTCTCACATACCAAAGAACAACAAAAGAATTTAATATCAGAAGTTCTTGTCAGGGCTAAACCTGGTATAGCCTCTTCTTGTTGTTACCATCCCAAACGTTGACGAAACCATCACAACCTCCAGTAGCAAAAGTGCCATAACTACAATTTTATACCCTCATGTTATTAGAAGCAATAAAGTTACTCTACAACAGAACAAGCATTTACAAAAAATTTCATCAGAAGAAAAAATAGCATTCACAAATACACAATTAGCATCCCTCAAAGTTCATCTATTCTCCACAGATATGTTTCCAGCCAGAAATTACACAATTAGCTGCTCTATTCAGCACGAGATTTTCATTTTTTGCATTTAAGCTAAACAAGTTCTACCCACTCCCTTTATTTAGTAAACTGTAAATTTTTCCGTGGGAAATAGTTTAAGTCTTGAAGCAATCAGATATCTGAAAGGAAACAATCAGGTTTTTTAAGATAACACTTACATCGGATGGAAAGCAATCGCGTTTACAGGGTAGACAATGTCCCTTCCATCTTCTGATTTCCGGTGACATTTGAAAGCATATCTGAGAAGAAGTTAAAGTATAATTCTTAGATAAATAAAGTAAAAGGAATTTATACCAGAAAAATCTCAGCCAGAACAAACAAAAAGGTGGAAAACATAAGGAACATACTTTTTAGCTTGAGCAGCTTCTGATAGATCAAAAAACTCCATTGACACCCTCCCTTCAACAGAGCTAAGGGCATATCCTGCAAAGTATTATTAACATCAAAAAGTGTGGAAGAGGAAACTGAGGCTACTGATTATACTTGAAACAGGAAGAACGGAAAAAAACCACGGAAAGCAACATGTCAAGCCATTTAACCTGTTCCATTGGGATAACACCGTACACATCTTGTCTGGTATTTAAGCGAGGACTCCCTTTTTTGCTCAGGCTGGGACATATTTCTGAGATCATAAATGTTGACATGCCTTCCTGCCGTCGCCACTACCAAACGATTTCCAACAAGAGAAAGAGAGTTAACACGCTCTGGTTGCTGATATGTTCCAATCTGTGTGCGTTCCGGTCCACTTGCACCTCTTGGGTCCCAACATTTAATCGTTTTATCCCAACTTCCAGTAATCACTTGCCCTATAACGCAACATAAACAATAGTAAAAGCTGATCTTTGAGTTCCAAATAAAGTTGCAACATCAATGAAAATCTATGCTCTTAACACAAAGGCGTCTAAATAAGCAACTTTCAACATATTTCAACATCGTTAAATCAACAGAATGACTTTATAGCATCTATCAACAAGGTAAATGTTCAATTAAACAACAAGAACATGATTACTGCTTTACCAACCTGCAGCATAAGAATACTCAACACATCTCCCTGGTTTATCATGCGTCCCCAAAATGTCCTCTTTCCCAGCATTGAAGTCAATTCTGAAGTTTATATATAACAAGAGAAACCACAAATTGTTAAACAATCACAATACATTTACTAAACACACTAAAACCAAATGAGTTTTTCTCTTTCAAAGATCCTTAATTTCACAGATAAAATTGAATAGACATTACTGTGGAAGATATCAAACAACCAGTGACACTGAATCTCACTTTCGAAAACAAAATTCACAGATTTACCCAAAAACAAAATCAGGAATAGAACAAAAATCAACGCACCTTCGAACTTTATTATCAGCGCAAACACTAAACCCAGACGAATCGTCATGAAAACAGCAATCGAGAACCGCCCCACCATGCTTAAACTCTCCTCTCATCGAATCGGCGTTCGCATCGTACAATCTCACACTCTTAGATCCAAACCCAGACCGAAAAACATCAGATTTAACAGATCAAACTTGAAACGAGCAGTAGAATCAATGTCCGAAAGAAGAAAGGGGGTAAATCTGTACCATATCCCATGACGAAACAAGTAAATGATCGCTGCTATTCGAAAATCGAAGATTAGAAATCCCATCTGAAGGAGGATTCGAGAGCTCGCGACCAACGATCGGCACCAAAGTCATCCTGAAGAAGACGAATTTCTAGGGTTTCCTCT